CTTAAATGGACCAGAACACTTCAGTCGAAGTGAAACCATCATTGGACTCCGTTTGATTGCTGGAAATCGTTCCTTGTTGATAATATATTTCTGTTGTTCAAAGAGCAACACTGGTTTAGGGAAAGAGGGAGCCATTTTCCACACAGATTTATGAATGAAAGGCTTATAAAAGGATTTCATTACTTAAAAATCTGGAAATTATCAACCATGAAGTTAAAAATGTGGTACTGTAGTAGTTATTAGATGTTAAGGTGTGAACTTGAAGCATCATAGATAGATAATTGTTACTGTGTCAAATTGAAAATACTACTCCGTATGTATCAATTCCTTCTCACCCCTCAAGACAGATTACAAACGGATTTATGGTTTGCTGAAAAAATGGCCAATTGTATTACTTGTATTTTATACTGAATAGAAATATTGTTTTTCCCAGCTGATTCATATGGTGGGCCGGCTAATCATTGGCAGCATTATGCACCGCCACCTTCAGATCATGTTGTTACAATTCCTCCAAAGCCCTTCCCTCCTCCAGGGGTATCTCGACCTCCACTTTCTCCTCCTCACCCGGCCCCACCTCACATTAGCAGCAGTGGAGCTTCGTCCAATAACTATTCAGGATCTTCAAATCCACTTCCACCACCATCACCGGAAATGACTTTGGGGTTCACAAAGAGCACATTCACTTATGAAGAATTGGAAAGGGCAACTGATGGCTACTCTGATGCCAACCTTCTCGGACAAGGCGGTTTTGGGTATGTGCATAGAGGGGTTCTTCCTAACGGGAAAGAGGTCGCTGTTAAGAGGTTGAAAGCCGGTAGTGGACAGGGCGAAAAGGAATTTCAAGCCGAGGTTGAGATCATTAGCAGAGTGCATCACAAACACCTTGTTTCTTTAGTTGGATATTGCATCGAGGGGTTCCACAGAGTGCTTGTCTACGAATTTGTGCCTAACAACACCCTTGAATTTCACTTACATGGTAAGCTTTTTGTTTACTCTCACATGTTCGTATAAGACATTTCTTTCTTTATCTTTTCAGTTTTGCCTCTAATAGGTATTCTATTTGTGTTTATCTTTTAAATGGCTTCATTTGCAAATCATAGTAAACGACGGTACATTTGGAATACCATAATACTACCTATGTCCCACAATGAAGTTTCCAATTTGACTTTCACGTTCTTTAATGGCAATATTTGACCACTATTATTTTCACCTATATACTTATAATAAAAACTATAATCAATATTATTTTAATAGTATATATTAAAAGATATTGTTCAAAAAATGTAATGCTACAAAAGTCAAAGTGTGAACTTATGGATGGAGAAGTATTCTTTAAGAACTCAAAGAATAGTAGTTACTTCTTGTGGTTTGTGACATGATCAATTGAACTTTGTAATAGGATCCAGATGAGCATAAAACTGTATAATTCCTACATGACATTCAATTTATTGGTGGCACTTCTTAAAAACACAGGAAAGGGAAGACCTCCATTAGACTGGCCTACAAGACTTAAGGTTGCCTTAGGATCTGCAAAAGGACTGGCTTATTTGCATGAGGACTGTAAGTATTGCTTGTAATATATTCTCATTTTTTACAATTGAGGGGTTTGATTTTTGTGTTGAAATTATGTTGTGTTTGAACAATGAAATTATTGTGTAGGTAATCCTAAAATCATTCACCGTGATATCAAGGCTGCCAATATACTCCTCGACTTTAAATTTGAGCCTAAGGTAGTTTGACATTGATGATGTTTAAATATATCAATCATATTTGTCTCTTTAAATGTCTGTAAATTCATATTTGTGTTACACTGCTGATGTATGAATTTTGGTTATCTCAGGTGGCTGATTTTGGACTTGCAAAACTGACTTCTGATGCTAACACTCATGTCTCAACCCGGGTTATGGGCACATTTGGGTATGATTTTTTTTCTATTATATATACTTCACATGTCGAATCATGTTCGCCGACCCCAAGCTCTTTTGGGACTAAGGCTTGGATGTTTCTATTGAGTATATACTTGGTTAAACTATTTTGAATGTTTTTTTTCTCCATATGGGGTTATGATTTTTTCTTTTAATTTCCTCTGACCATCCATAGGTACTTGGCTCCAGAATACGCTTCGTCCGGGAAGCTTAGTGATAAGTCTGATGTATTCTCATTTGGGGTAATGCTTCTTGAGTTAATTACTGGGCGCCGTCCCGTTGACTCTAATCAAGCTTTCATGGATGATAGCTTGGTGGACTGGGTGAGTTGATTTATAATCATTATTAATAAAAAAATTGACATTAATTCAACAGTTTTTCCCAATATCTTAAGCTCTTCCTCTGACTGTGTGTACGTTTTTACAGGCAAGACCTCTACTCACTCGTGCTCTAGAAGAAGGAAACTTTAATACACTTGTAGATCCACGGCTAGAAAATGATTACAACCACAAAGAAGTGTCGCGTGTGATTGCTTGCGCTGCTGCTTGTGTCCGTCATGCTGCCAGGCGTCGACCTAGAATGAGCCAGGTATTAACTTGCTTATCTCTTGGGTCGCATGCCTTATGTCTATTGGTCTAAGTCTAGATTTCTGTAATTGGAAATTCTAGTTATATCTTAAATTAGTATATCATAGCAATCATCAAGGCTCCGTGTGGTGGCCTGATTTATCTTGTTATGCTGTAAATAGCCTTTGACTTGCAAATTTGGCCCAACTGGTATTCCTGAATGGTTTTCATTGTCAGAAAAAAATCAGTGCATTCAGCCAAATAACTCGTAAAATATGGGCCCCAATGCTCCATTTGTTAGCCTTGTTTGGCTTACTATGCTAATCGCGCATAAGTAGCCTTGACTTGGTATTTGGCTTAAAAATGGATCGTATGGAGGGCTTTCATCAGTTTCAGCCAAATAACCGTACAAGTGCCATATAAAGAAGGTTATGTTCAACTTTTTGAACAACACTCCTTTCCTGAACAATAATCTCCTTTCTAAAAGTTACCGTCTTGGCCACCGAAATTATTTTCTTCCCCAAATCAACCCCATTTTGTCCTATGATTCAGCACCCTTACATCTCGCACCTGACACATTAGAAGTTAGAACACTAATGGTGATTATCTCATGATGTAAATAAGCAACATAAGCTTGAATATGATTTTTGAATTTAACAGGTTGTGAGGGCTTTAGAAGGAGACATGTCGTTATCCGATCTCAACGAAGGAATCAAGCCGGGGCACAGCTCGGCCTATGGAAGTTCATATGGAAGTTCAGACTATGACACTATGCAATACAATGAAGACATGAAGAAAATGAGAAAGATGGCTCTCGGAAGCCAAGAATATGGTGGTAGCACGGGTCAGTATAGTAACCCGACCAGTGAATATGGGTTAAACCCATCAGGGTCGAGCAGCGAAGGTCAAGAAACGGAGATGAGTTTGAGGACGAACAAAGACAGCAGAGGGTACGGGACATATGGTGGAAGATAATAACAGCTTCTCATTCCATTGGATATGTGTATAAGTTCATTCTACTATAGGCTAACCCTATTCTTTTTCTACTCCTGAATTTTGTGTGAAATATTCTTTTTTCCCCGCCCAATTGTTGTATTTATTAATAATTTATTCATTCAAAAGAGATGAGGTGCTTGAGTGTTCATATGAATATATTTGGTTGGTTGTATGTTTGTTCAGACTTCTTACTCAACTTCCTGCTTTAGTTGTTCTTTTTCTTTGTTAGTTTTTAACCATATTTTGACAGTCCTCTAAAAAAACCATATTTTGACAGTTGGGTTTGAATCAGCTACAGGTGGATGATTAGGAAAAGCCAGCTGTCAATTTCTTCTTTGGGAAACTTTGACTTTACACCATATAGTTTATTCCAGCATTAGATTTGGCAAGTTATTGAGGTAAATCATGGCTGCAAAATTATAAGTATTCAGAATATTGAATACAAAGTCAAATATGGGTGGGAAAGTTATGGTATTTATTCTTTTCTCTTATTCCCTCTATTTAAGGTTGGGTATTTTATTATTTCCACAATAAACAAAAATAAACAAGAACAATTGGCTGGACAACGCGTACTGGCCACTGGCGTACACCTATTCTGAATTTCTGATCAAGAATTGATAGTCAAATAAAGTATCTACAATCTCAATTCCTAAACGAAGTACTATTTTGATTTTCACAATCACCTTTGTTTATGTTCTGTCATTTACTATATATCGCCTTAAAATATATTCAAAACATAAAAAATTCCAGAATACATACTTTAAGAAATAGGTCAAGCGGTGGTTTTATATCATATTCATTATACCATAGTATATATTACCGAGTAAAATCAATGGCCACACTTATAAGATTTGTGTTTTGAGGTTAAATTGGGAGAAAATGACGAAATAAGAGTTTTGTGTATGGTCTATAGATCCCTCTTATATGGTATAAATTCACAAAAATCGGAGTTCACGAATCCTAATTTATACTACGTAGTTGTTAATGATTAGATTAGATGAAATTTCAGTTCAATTAAAAACGTCCCAATTAATATTTCCAATAAAAATTAATATCTACCAGTAAAAAATCATTTATTGTGTTGATTCTACTTTTGATCCATCAATGGTTATTAGACATCTCTATTTGTAATTCTTAATTTTTATTTTTCGATTTGTGATCTCATAATCATAAATGTTTTTGTCACTTATGGCGCTGATTATATTTTGGTGAAATTCAACCACACGTTTTGTGGAAATTGATCATAAGGATCATGTGACAAAAAATACGGAGTATGTAAGAATGAACAAAATAAAAATCTGAGATTAATGCTAATAAGCTTGTTAATTAATTTCGAGGTAAATCCAAGTTCCCTTGGGTTTTTATTTCCAGGTTCACAATATATGTTTACTTACTATTTTATGACAAGAAGAAGGTGTAAGAACATATATTTAACTCAAAGTGACCAAACCCAACCAACATACGTAGAAGTAGCAAGTACATATGTGTTCTTCTGCGGCAAGGAAGCAGAAGACTTTGACAAAGCGTCTCCAACACCACACATCACCGGAGCAGCAAGTACGAAGTCGCTGGAGTCGTCGCCAGAAATCGCAAAAGGAGATGGACTATTACGGGATATATGTTAATATATTAAGAATATATTATTTTAATTAAGGATGATTGCTTTTTTATTAGGAATATATCTCTAGTTGGTAGTTTCCTTCTAGGAATATATAGTTTCCTTTTCTCTTTGCCTTGTACCGATCGGTTTTAGCTATATAATAGCGCCGAGCTTCATAATAAGAACATGAGAAAATCCTCTTAAAATTATTCTTGTTATTAGTTTAAACTTGTTATGGTATCAGAGCACTAAAACGAAGCTATGGCTGCCGGCGACAATGATGAAGCCGGAGGTACTGGACAGAGCCGGACAGATCACACCTCTCCGTTTTATCTTGGGCCACAAGATAGACCGGGTGATTTTATCACTCCGGTACGATTAACCGGTGACAATTATGATGCTTGGGCTAACGCGGTGCGGCTGTCCTTGAGAACATGCCGGAAGTACGTGTTCGTTGATGGGACGATTACGGGACCAGTTGCTCCATGGACGCAGGAGGACTGGTTGACAATACAGTACATGATTGTTTCGTGGCTTCTCAATACAATCTCGCCTGAGGTTAAGTGCACACTTTCTCAATACGAAGACCCTCGTGTACTGTGGAATGACCTCCAGGAGCGTTACTCTGCTGTGGACGGTCCGAAGATACCCCAGGTGAAGACCGATCTTGCCAAATGCACTCAAACACGCGGGATGAACGTGGGTTCATATTATGCTAAATTAAAAATTCTTTGGGATGAATTAAATAATTATGAACCCATCATCACATGTACGTGTGGAAACTGCAAATGTGATGTAGCTAAGCAATCATCCTTAATTAATATAATATATTCTTAATATATTAACATATATCCGTCCGTATTAACATTTAAATGTGGCCCGAGCTTTGAGATTTCAAGCTCATCTTCCTTTAACTTTTTGGGGAGAATGCGTTTTAACCGCTGCCCATCTTATTAATCGAACCCCCTCGTCTGTGATTAATTTCAAGACTCCTTATGAAGTACTTTTTGGTCAACCACCATGCTATAAATTCTTGAAAGTATTTGGATGCCTGTGTTATGCATATAATCTGAGGTCCAAGGGTGACAAATTTGCTAGTAGAAGCCGGAAATGCATTTTTGTTGGCTACGTTTTCGGGAAGAAAGGTGGGAATTTATATTATTTGGAAACTCAAGAATTTTTTGTCTCTCGTGATGTGAAGTTTTTTGAGGACCAGTTCCCGTTTGTTACTCCTCTGGATGAACCTTCACCGGCCGAGACTGACATTTTCTTTGAAGATCTACCGGCCGTACCTACCATGGTTCCAGCTCCACCGTTAGTTACTTTGCCGGACAGTTCTAATGTCGTGGGGACGGATAGTTCCTCTACCGCAAATGCACATGACCAGCCTCTTATTTTAGGTCGGGGACAGAGAGTTGAACATCCTTCAGTTCACTTGCAGGATTATGTGACACACACAGTGATTAAAAATAGTCCCATTTCTCCCTCCCCGTCCTCTCTTACTTCTTCAGGTACTCCTTTCCCTATATCGCATTATGTTAGTTGTGATAATTTTTCTGCACCACATCGGGTTTTTCTTGCAGCAATTTCCTTGAGCACAGAACCTCAGTCTTTTAAGGAAGTTGTTTCAAGCCCGGAATGGCGTCAGGCAATGAACTCCGAAATTCAAGCTCTTGAACGAAATGGAACTTGGTCACTTGTCTCTCTTCCTCCCGGAAAGCGCGCTTTGGGGTGTCGTTGGGTCTATAAAATTAAATATCAGTCCGACGACACCGTGGAACGTCTCAAAGTCCGCTTAGTTATTTTCGGGAACCGACATTCCGACAAGTTGCTGGAATTGATTATGATGAAACGTTTGCTCCGGTCGCAAAGATAGTTATTGTGCGAGCTTTTTTTTGCAATTGTGGCATGTAAAAATTAGGAACTCCATCAGATGGATGTTCATAATGTCTTTCTTCATGGTGATCTTAATGAAGAGGTGTATATGACACTGCCTCCGGGATATAAGTCCTCTAGTCCTGATCTGGTTTGTAAACTTCATAAATCTCTATATGGGTTAAAACAAGCTCCTCGGTGTTGGTTTGCCAAGCTTGTCACGACCCTCAAAACATATGGGTTTCTTCAGTCCTTCTCGGAGTACTCCTTGTTCACACACACCCTGGGTGATATCCAGCTGAATGTCCTTGTTTATGTTGATGATCTTATTATCTCTGAGAACGATTCTGCCGCCATCGGTTCCTTCAAAAGTTATCTCAGTGAATGCTTTCATATGAAAGATCTTGGCATATTAAAATATTTTTTGGGCATTGAGGTAGCCCGGAGCTCATCAGGCATTTTTCTAACTCAACGTAAATATGTCTTGGACATTATTACCGAGACAGACTTACTAGGGGCGAAACCAGCCTCTTTTCCAATTGAACAAAATCATACTCCCGCTCATGCATCGGGTCCCTAAATTGATGATTCTGAGAAGTATCGTCGCCTGGTGGGTTGTCTCATCTACTTAGCTATTACTAGACCGGATCTTGCTTATTCCGTTCATATCCGGTCTCAGTTCATGCAAAATCTGCGGGTTGAACATAGGAATGCTGCTCTTCGCGTCGTGCGTTACCTCAAAGGATCTCTGGGTCAAGGTATTCTTCTACGTGCTGATATTGATCTTACTCTTACCAGATGGTGTGATTCAGATTGGGCTGCATGTCCTCTTACCCGTAGATCTCTTTCTGGTTGGTTGATCTTCCTTGGACACTCCGATTTCATGGAAGACTTAGAAGCAAACTACTATTGCACGCTCGTCAGCTGAGGCTGAATATCGGTCTACGGCAGCCGCTACATGTAAATTAAAATGGCTTAAAGCCCTGTTGCTCAGTTTGGGAGTTCATCATCCTCAGGCTATCCTTCATATTGCTCGAAATCCCGTCTTTTACAAGAGGACTAAGCACATTCAGGTGGATTGTCACTTTGTTCGCAATGCAATCCAAGATCATTTGATTGCTCCCAACTATGTTCCCACTACAATTCAACTGGCAGATATTTTTACCAAAGCTATGGGGAAGACTCAATTTCAATTTTTATTACGCAAGTTGGGCATTCTTGACCCCATGCTCCAACTTAAGGGGGTATTACGGACGGATATATGTTAATATATTAAGAGTATATTATATTAATTAAGGATGATTGCTTTTTGATTAGGAATATATCTCTAGTTGGTAGTTTACTTCTAGGAATATATATTTTCCTTTTCTCTTTGCCTTGTACCGATCGGTTTTAGCTATATAATAACGCTGAGCTTCATAGAAAATCATTTTAAAATTATTCTTGTTATTAGTTTAAACTTGTTATTGACGTAAATCTGTGAAGCTGAAAGGAGAGGAGAAACAGGTAATCACCACGCCGAACTACAGAGCTTCCGGCGATGGGCTGTCTCAGCTCTACGCCGGAAAACTGTAGAGGACAGCCAGACTGCTCTCTGACTCCATACGGCCTGGTATTTACGAACTCGGGGCCGACAAGTCGCTGAAGTTGCTTCTTTCTTCAGGTATGCCAGCCGTTGAGTATGATGAACAAAGGTTCAGACCTTCCAACTGAGATGGGTGTTTGAGGATGATAGGGGGAGGTTCGCACTTCTGCAATACCAGAATGAGAACATATATGTGTGGTGCAGATACCCCACGCTACACTTATATTTGAGATCTTGAACCAAGAACACCAGCCAGGGACAGCAAAGCGGTTGTTTTTACATAAATGCTGCTTGCGGCTAACTGTTTTTTAGTTATGACTAATTTTTTGCATTCACGATTGCATTGGACCCGTCCATTTAATTTAAACGTCTATGTATCTATCTCAGCTTCACGGGCCTTCTACTCAAGTGACATGTCCATTTTTTAGGAGATGCGGTCCATTTAAAGATGCTCTTATCCCTACCAATGTCCGAGAGATCTTTAACTCCCAAAGATCCTCATATATGATTTTCCGTGTATGTAATTTTATACGTGATTTTTAAAAGATGATTTTCAAGGTTTGTGAGTCAGATGAACTAACATTGAATGTCAATTTATGCGTATGTTTCGTATTAGAGGCGGCACACCTCAAACCCTAGGCTAAGCCTAGGAATTGTGTGTCAATCCGTGAATTCTTAGGGCGATGAGATTGCTTTGCCGATCGGAAGCAACGTCCAAGGAAGAGGAAGGGCTGGTCATGGAGGTTGGAGGATGCTTTGATATCAACTATGGGAGATTCTTGGACCTTGGTAGGGATATGACCCAACTGGAGTCTTCTTCTTCTTTTTTGGTTGTGTTTGTTTTGTTTTGTAGCAGTTCTTTCCCGGGCACTGGCGCTCCAGGGTGGTTTGTCTCTCTCAATGTGGGGAATTGTTTTGTTGTGCTGGCTAGGTCAGGGGTTTGTGTCTGTCTTCTTTTGGAGTGCATAGGCATTCATAGAGCTCGTCCTCCTCTAATCACCTCCATGTTAAAAAGATTATTATGAAGACTTTATTTCAATTTTATTTTCCTTTCAGTAGTATTTGTTTTTATTTTTTGAGTATGTTTAGTTTGGATTTTTGCCTTTTTGGAGTATGCTTGATAGGCGGTGTTTCGGATCCGATTTTTGGCTAATTCTATGTCTATTCCTAGAGGACGATCGGATCTGTCATGACTGACTGGATGTTGTCTTATATGGTTACTCAATTTTAATATAAAAAACCGCCCTTTTATTCTCAAAAAAAGGTTAGATTGCTCTTTTATGGGCGGTTATCTCTTTACCTAATTTTAGGGCTTGTAATCTTCTCATTTTAAGCATTTTAATACAATTATAAAATCCTTTTACCAGAAGAAGGGCCTTAATGCCTTATTTGATCATTTACACGTATTTATGTTCCTTCTATTATGATGTCTTTTCAACACACCTACACCACAAGATTTCTTTTGTAATTATTACCCCCACTGCATTATTTCTTGCTGCATACTACGTATAATCCAACCCACCCTTCTCCTAAACTCATTCACTTCATCTAGCTCTACATTTTACGGAGTACGAACTACGAACTAAGGTTGGTTTTCATCTTCACTTTCTGCCATTGCATTCTACCTTTAAAGTTTGACAACACCTCCTTATCTATGTGCCAATATGTTTTTTCATTTTGTGGTTCGAATTTTTTGTTTCGTATTTCAACTTTACAAATGCTTTACCCTCTTCGTAGATAAGAATTTATGAACATAGAAATTTTTGTCTCCATGGGTCATATTCTTTTAGCCTTCTACGTTTTTGTAGTAAAAGTATTTTTTGAATTCAGCTTTTATTAGGGTCTGGCTCAACAAAAGTAGACTTAAGAAATTTGGTTTTTATCCTGCCTTAATTTCTTTTAATTTCTTTTAAAAAATTGTGTAGGACCTACATTCCTTTTAAGTCTTAATTTCGTTTAATTTTAATTTTATATATCATTTTAAACCATTTTTTATCTACTTTTATACTTCAAATCATGTGTATATGGACTTTATCATAGACCTAAGTCTATAATTGATTTCTATCTTTTATACTTCAAATCATGTGTATATGGACTTTATCATAGACCTAAGTCTATAATTGATTTCTATCTATCTCGTCTTTTTCATTTTTTTCAGTACAACTTTCTCTCTATAAATATATAAACAAATTGAGAACAATCATATAATCGGTCTTTTCAATCAAATAAAAATTACTTAATTTAAAGTTATATATACTCACTCTGTCTTTAAATAATGTTTTTTTATTCAAACACATAGACAATAACAGGATTTTATTAATTTTGTTATGGTTATTTGTTCGGATAGGTGGTTGCAGGTGAACTTTTTCGCCTTTTATACATCCGTTTGACACTAGGACATTGAAATATATAAATGTTATTTTTATTCTTAAAACAACATCCCGAGCCAAGTGTGCTTGTACCAGTTTGCCTTGTCTATTCATATTACATTGTTTTATGGGAAGCACTTATGATTTATTTACTCATGGAGATGTATGATTTATTTATTCACGGAAATATGAAGGACGAGATCAGACAATTAAGGGACCAAAATAACAAACTTAAGATATTATCGATTGAAAAAAAAATCATTGGTAATTCTATGGTACA